AACGGGAGAAGAGGATTTGGAGATCCAACCACGTGCGAGGGCGTTGGTCAGATACTCCGAAAGAGCAGATTCCTCGGCCGGGGACAAAGGATAGACTTTCCCCGGCTTTGGCAAACGAGGTTCCTTTCCATCCTCGGTCCGTACAAACTCAATAGACAAGTCATACGGACGGTGAGGAGGCAAGGAAGAAGGAGGGTCAGACTTGAGGCTGAAAACGTCGCCAAACTCATTGTATTTGAGCGGGACACCTCGAGAGTCAACAGGGGTGCCAGACTCGGCATACACCTTCGTCGTGAGCACGGACCTTATCGACACCGTAGGATACGTCTCCGGCGAAGGAGGACGGATATCCATTTGGGCAGCGAAAATGTCGAGCTTGTCTTCCCGTGCAAGACGGAGAAGACTCGCCGCATTAACGAGCTCAATGTCGGGCGAAGATAAAGCCGTTGGCTCTTCAGAAAGCGAAGCAGAGTCAAGGCGGGAAGAAAGGGAAGGCGAAGTGCCAAAGGAGGGAACCGGTGTAAGGGAAGGACCGGAGGGAGGAGTCAAAGGCGAAGTGCCCGAAGGGGGAGGCGAATAGCCGGAAGGGGACGAAGTGTCCAAGGAGGAAGCAGAGACATCCGCGAGGATGTGTCCATCAGCAAGGCAAGAGGGATCGGAGAACGAAAGGGAGAGGGACTTCCAATTGACAACTGGATTATGCAAGCGCATCCAGGGAAGACCAAGAGTGATGGGAGTGGTGGAGAGTCGAGTCACAAGAAAAGAAATCGACTCGGTGTGGGAACCAATGGTCAACGTCACAGGAACGGTTTGGAAACGAATGAAACCGGCCGAAGAACCATCAGCAAGGGAAACGGAGTAGGGAGTAGAAAGAGGGATAAGAGAGAGTTTATGGAGATCCGCAAAGGCAGGATCAATGAGGGCAAGAGCGGTGCATCCATCATCAATAAAGACAGAAAGGGAGATGGAGACCGGGCCAGAAAGACTCATGACGACAAGGGTGGCCGGAAGAAGAAGCTTATCGTCCGATAATGACGAGTCAGAGGGGGAAGATGTTCGTATCGCCGAACAGACCACCTCGCTTACTTGCGAGGTGCTGCTCGGCTGTGGGCATTTCCCGAGTTCCGTTTGACCAGAACCGGGCACTGCTGAACATCGCGACTGCCGGGACAAGACTTTTCCCCGCAGTACAGGCAGAGACCCTGCTCACGACGTCGCTTTTTCTCGACGTCGGAGAGCTTAGCAGGGCGGACCGAGACAGAGTCAAGGTCCATGGGAGTGGGTGCAGAAGAGGAGGAAGAAGAAACATGCGCGGGAGAATGGTGGTGATGGGGAGCAGAGCGAGAAGAAGGAGGAGGAGGTTGGGAACGGGAGGAGATCTTGAGACGATGGAGGGCATCGTCGTACTCGACCGCTGCCTTGATCAACTCAGGCAGGGAAGCGGGAGCGGGGCGGAGACCGATGAGGTGGAACTTGACCTCAGACTTCAAACCCTCCTTGAAGAAGTGCATCTTGGTGGGTTCATCAGTCTGGACGCGGGCGGCGAGCTGGACGAAGCGGGTGGCGAAGGCTTGGCAGGACTTGAGCTGGACCAAGCGCTTGAGGTCGTTCAAGGCCTTATCTTGCGAGGAGGCCGTGTCCTCACCGAAGGTCGACTTGAGGGCAACTTCAAAATCCGCGAAGGAAGCCGGGAAGCGGTTGGCCATGTAGAAGGCGGCCTCGTACCACTTGAAGGCTTCACCGCGGAGGAAGGAGGTGGCGTACAGGACCTTCTGGCGCTCGGGCGCGAAGAAGGCAGGATCGGCGAGGAAAACCAGGTGGCACTGGGCGAGGAAGGCCGTCGTTTCATCGCGGGAACCTAGGAACTCCTTGGGCTTGTTGACCTGGTAGACCTGGCGGGGAGCGGCGGCGGGAGCTTGCAGATCTTGGATCTGACGATGGAGAGCAGCGTTCTGGGTCATGAGGGCGTTCATACGCTCCTCCATGCGCGCCAGATACGCGTTGAGGTCTGCAGGGGGTGCAGCAGGCTCAGCCATCGGATCGACGAGGGAAAGAGAGGCGAAAGAAGAAGAAAGGCCGGGAAGCCAAGAGGGAGCGTTCAAAATGATGTTAGAGTCCGAAGGGGACTCAACGGCAAAAGAAGAAGTGAGCTCGAAGTGAGCTCAGGGAAGGCAAGGGTAAAGTCCGAAGTGGACTCGGAGAGGGAGCGAGGGAAGCAAAGATCCGTTCAAGATAAGACTAGTCTCGAAATGAGACGTGAGGAACACTCAGAGAATAAAGTAGAAGGCACTTTATTTAGTCCTATTTTGAACGCTGAGGTTCGACTACACATCGCGGGGGTCAGGCTATTTATAGACAAGTCCGGACTTGGCAGCGAAGGGCGGCCAAGGGAGGGAAAAGTGGGCGATCGAGCAGGGCGAAGGGGGCGATGCACGAACGAGGGCCGAGAAGGACCACCGAGACAGGCAGAGAACCAAAGCGAGGGAGGCGCAAGCAAAAGCGAAGCACCTGGCAGGAGAAACGTGCAAAGGCGAAGCAATGTGACTCAACGTCCAAGAAGCGGATTGGTCAAGTATAAGGTTGGGGCAAATGCATGCGAGATGAACAAGAGATCGGGGCGGTCAGGCAGGTCATGAGTCACCGGTGGTGGGACACATGACCGGCAGCCGAATTGCAACCAATCGCAGCAAGGCGCGTGCACAAACAAACCGGCGCGTGCGAAGAAGACAAAGGAAGCGGAGCAGCGCGGGGAAACGGAAGTGCGGAAGGAGCGGAAATGGCAGGCAAAAGGCGGAAAATTGGAGGGGAACTGCAAAGCTACACACAAACAAACAGAAAGGCAAAAGAACAGCCAAGTGTGCAGTCAAAGTGGAGAACAAGCAGAAGCTATCCCTAACATCGGGCGGATGAACCCATGGGCGAGGAGGTCATCCAACTGGCGCTTGAGTTCGTCCATCTCCGTCAGCGACAGTTGGTACGTCGGTCTTGACGGAGGCGACGAGCCTGGTTCGATGTCGATGCGATGATCGACGGTGCGTTGGGGTGGCAGGCATTGTGGCAACTGGTCGGGGAATACGTCCTTGTACTCGTCGAGCAGCTTGGTCACCACAGGCGGGGGACCGGGACCGGCTTGGTCGGTGTCGTCGACCTCACGCACGACACAGAGGAACGACGTGTCCTTCTTGATCAGCCTCTTGAATTGCATGGCTGAGAGGAGAGGTGGCATGTTGGGTGAGGCCATGCCCTGCAGGACAATGTCAGGGCCAACACGGACAGTGCGGCCTTTCCAGTCGACGACTGGAGTCGGCTCGGCACGAGCAAGCCAGCTCATGCCGAGGATGGCATCGAACTTGGTGTCGATCACTTGGAACAACAGGACAGGATGGTACTTGGGATGGAGGGCCACTCGCAGGACCACTTGGTGTGTGCACTGCTGCACACGATCGTCTGCAAGCGCCACACTCATCGGCGACTTCTTCTTGGTTGCATGTATGTTGAGCTCCTGGAGCAAGCGTCTGCTGACAAAGTTGCAGCTTGCTCCAGAGTCCACCATCATTCGGACGGTGTGACCTTGGACGGTGGCAGGGAGGTACAGCAGGGACTCTTCATGGTCCTCCTGCACAGCCTCCTGCACCATGACTTGACTTGGGGGAACGGGCGACACTTGGTCTTGGTTGGCTTCATCACGGCCACTCGGACATTTTGGATAGGGTTCGGCCATTGCGGGGGCCTGCGGCGTCAGCACGCCATTGCACACGACGTCCACGGCTTGCGGACACATGTCGGAAGCATCCGACACACACGACTTGACAGGGGTGAGGGCACAGGCGGTCCTGTCCCTCAAGGGTTCTTGATTTTCTTTTTTGTTTTGGTTTTCAATTTTGGTTTTCTCTTCACGTTCGTGGAGAGGCAGGCGGCTTGCGCCACCATGCACCTCTCGCACGACGCACAACACTTGGTTTGTTTCTCCTTCGGGGGAGGGGGCGAGGTGAACTTCCTCTGGAGACGCGTGGACTGCATTGAGCAATCCACGGCGTTGGTCTCCTACTAGGGCTCCAGAGCCACCTAGTAGGGTCGGCCGTTTCCCGACTTCATGGGGCACTCCTTGGCCTGGTGTCCCGGTCGGTGACAGAAGAAGCAGGAACCATGGCGGAGGTCCTCCTGCTTCTGTCTGTCCTTGGGGGAGACAGTGGCAGCTTGCTGGAACCGGGAGCGGGGAGGGCCACGAGCCTCCATGGCGTTGACGTCAACGTCCATGGGCTCAGGCATGGGTCTTGCGGGCGGGGCCGGGCGAGGCGGACGGGCTGGGACGTGATGAGACCGATGGCCGCCTGCCAGCTGCGGGTAGAACTGGCGGCCATGGTACTGGACGTTGTCGAGGTTCTCGGCAACGTCCATCATCACGTCCAGGGACTTGCGGGCATCAGGGTTGCTGGCGATGTACTCTCTGATCTTGGGCTTGAGGCCCTTCTGGAAGAGGTACATCGCATCAGCAGAGCCCAGCTCCTCAATCTGGGAGGAGAGGTCTTCAAACTCCTCGATGTAGCGGGTCACAGAACCACGCTGCACGAGAGAGTATAGCTTGTCACGGGCAATGAGTTCAGCATTGGGGCTGCCGAAGCGGCGACGGAGGCGGTCCTTGAAGTCGTCAAACACACCTTCGCTCTGCTCGTCGAACCCTTGGCGGCGGTACCAACGGTACGCCTGGTCCTTTAAGCAGAGCTTGGCGGCGACGATGTGGTGGGTGGGGGCGACTTGGGCAGCATCGAGGTAGTCCTCGAGTTGCTGCAGCCAGTCCTCCACCGAGGAGGAGCGGCTCTTCCCAGTAAACACTGGGGCACGGAAGGTCTTGAGGAAGGCTTCCGGAAGTGGGCGGGGGTTGCTCATGGCAGGGGCAGGCTCCAGGGACAGAGAGGAGAGTCGGTCGGCAAGAGAGGCGGGATCCAGCTTGAGGATCTAGAAAGAGGACAAACAGGACGAAAACAAGACGAGGATTTCCGATGCTACCATGTAACGTCCACTACTGGGACGTTGGGGCAAGACGGGGAGGGAGGGGGTACAAGACAAGACAGGACGGGGCAGAACAGGGCGGTGCTAGGCTACTCTAGCGGACGGGTGAGCTCGGGGAGCACTTACGTTTATTCACGATAAAACCGAACTCCAGACAAACGGGGGGAACGGGGGCAACCCGCAGGTATACCCTGCGGTGGCCTGCCTGCGGTGCGTGAAAACGCAAAGCGCAGCACAGGTCACGACCCACTGCGCCGCGCAGTACGCGCAGTACGCGCAGCACAGCGTCGGAGATACCATCTCCTACACCTTTGTGATCAAGCATGGTGTGGTCAACAAGTATTCCGGCTCGACAGCCAACCAGTCCTTCTGGTCGTATGGGAGTCTCTTTGGTGCCGGTGTGGATGGCACCAACACTGTGCTAGAGTGCGGCACGAACGGACCCAGTAGCAACTACTACAGCTACATGGGCAGCTCCAGCACCAACAACACAACTGCATCAGTGAGCCAGGTGGCATGCTACCCGAACGACACCAAGATCGTGGGCACCTATGACGGCACCACCCAGACCATATGGATCAACGGCAACTCGGGATCCTCCAAGGCCGTGAGTGGACTGAACGTAACGTCGGGGCAGCAGTACCTGTTCAGAGGCCCGCGGGCAAACTCGGCACTCAATGGCGAAATAGGCTATGCGCTGTTCTTCAAGACTGCTCTCTCGACCACCGACCGACTCCTGCTGGCTCCCACCAACACTGTGAGTGGGCTCGATGCCACGGGCACAGTCTCCGGAGCCGTGTGGGCAGCGATCAGCGGCTCTGTGATTCTCTTGGTGGATACGAGTGGTAAGATCTGGTATGGCAGCACCAGCAGTGGCTCGACGGCATGGAATCCGTGCCCGAGTGCGCCGTATGCCAACCGGGTCGGTTTTGTGAGGAACTCGAGCACATACCCATACAGTGCATGGGCGACCGAGTCGGGTGGCAATGTCTACTATTGCGCCAATGTGACGACGGCCTGCTCGTGGATCCGCATCACTGTATCGAATGACTGTAAGAGTCTGGCGATGCGATACACTGCAAACACACCCGTTGCATTTGGATATGTCAACAGCAGCAACGTGCTCTGGAAAAACTCCAATATCACCACGACGTATAATGCCACACAGATAACGACCAGTGGGTTTTCGCCCACGCAGGTCACGATGACATATTCCAGCAGCACGGCAATGTGGGCGACTCTGGACACGAGTGGGTATTTGTGGACGCAAGCATATGCCTGGGATGGCGGATCCACTTCAACAACGAGCTGGACGCAGTGGAATGCCAAAGCACTGACGTTTGCGTGTGCGTACGGAGCGGGTGCTGTGATGGCAGTGGGTACAGATGGCAAGATATATTATTCGAGTGCCAACATGACTAGCAGCGTTTCATGGAGTGCGGACACGGCGACCAACACTGCCACGACGGCGATCATGTGTGATAGCGACGACAGCGGTAATGCAGTGTATGTCACAAGCAGCTCGACCAACAAGCTCTGGTACAAGCTGAATGGACAGGGCTCATGGACAGATCTGATCTGAGTGGATCAGAGACCCAGTTCACCCAGCAGTTTCCAGGCCATGACATCACCCTTGTCTCGAAGATCCTTGATGATCTCGATGGCATTCTGTCTCTCTTCTTGGGTTGCATCTGTCCTTTTCCATTCATTTCTGGCGATATGGTATGTTGCTCTGAGATGGCCATGTTGGCTGGCCAGAGCAAAATATTGTTCCATCTTGACCCAGTGTCGTTGCTGCTGTCCTCGAACGTAGAACTTGGATTGCTGCATGAGGCCAAGCTCATAGAGCGATTCTGCATGTCCCTGGGCAGCAGCCTTCTTGAAGTGGTGTTTGCAGAGAGCCCTGTCGTCGACACCAGGGCCGCCAAATGACTTTGAAAAGTATCGACCCAGGATGTAGTGGACATCGGGGTGGTTGGTGGTATTGGCCATATCGATCACCCAGCTCATATCATCGAGTCGTTGATCGCGAAAGAATGGGAAGAGTGCATTGGTTGCGTTGATGAGTTCAGAACATCGTGCACAGAAGTGGATCAGCGAGATTCTGTGATGTCCACACCACAACTTGAACCTGGTGAATCGTCGATTCACAAGGGCTCGTGTGCGCTTGGAGAGTCGCAATAGCTTGGCCACAGTGTCGAGCGAGCAGTGGGCGATGAATGTGTTCTCATTGGAGATGATCTCGAGTACGAGTGACATGCTCTCCATTGTGGATGCTGGCGACGAAGCAGATGCCTTTCGAACACATTTTTTATTGACACAAAAACACCACACACCCGATACATTTCATTCATTCAAGCCATTCAGTGCAAATCGATGACAAAGCAGATCTCGCTGGTACGTTTAGGGGGAACAGGGGAAGTGCTGCTGCTCGTGGTGGTGGCAGCGCTGGTCGTGGGAGCAGTGACACCCTGGACATCGCTGGTGGTGGAAGCCGACCAGGGTCCGTGGGTGTGGGTCCTGGCAGGGCAGCGATGATGGCGATGACGACCGCGGCCCTCGGGAGTGCAGGTCACCGTGGTGGTCGTGGTAGCCTCGGACTCGCAATCGGTGCTGCTGGAGCTGATGGAGCTGCTGGTGACGCTGGGGGTCGGCGTGTAGGTAGGAGTACCGACGCTGGTGCTGGTGTAGCTGGTGCTGCTGCTGGTCAAAGTCGGGGTTGCAGCGGGGCAGGGAGCACCCTGAGAGACGCTGGGATTGGCCTGGATGCTGAAGATGTCGCTCTGGGCCATGAAGCCAGTGCTGTTCCAGAGCTGGACATTGAACTGGCCGGCGGGAACCGAGGGAATGACAAAGTCCCAGCCGTCCGAGGACCATTGGACATCGGTAGCAACGACGGGAGTCACCTGCGACGACACAAGCAAGAGGCGGTTGGTCGCGGCTTGATCGGTGCCGAGATTGACGCCAGGGAAAGCGATCCACGAGACCGGAAGGACGGAGCAGGTAGACCAGACGGAGCCGGAGATGGGGGCAGTGACGAGAATGGAAGACATGTTGGGCATGCAGGGGATGATGGTCGAGAAGGACCGGGACGGTGACTGGTCTTTATATAGGAGATTTATTGGGTCGCTGCCAGCGCACCTACTCGGACAGGTTGCTATCCGAGTCCGTCTCCCAGTCATCCTCCGACTGCAGCAAGGGATCGGTCAGGGACAGGGAAAAGGTCGAATCGCTATCTCCGCCAACGCTGTCGCTATCTCCGCCATTGTCGACAACGAAATCGACATCGTCCTCAAGGATCTCGTTGACATCGACCAGCATATCGCGGTGCTCCTTCAGCCATTGGAGCTGCAGAGCAAAGTCAGGGTCTTCCTCCTTTCCGAGCCAATGACACCACAGCTTGAGGTCCAGATTGGTCATTGCCGCCAAAAAGTCCCTGTCGAGCGAAGCAATGAGGGCGGCTGCCCGCGGCGGGTCCCTGGTGATGCCAAAGCCCCCGAGCAGGCAAAAGGCGAAACAGATCGACGCCATGGACCTCTCGGGGTGCGGAGATGCCAGCATGGCGCTCTGGAAGGACTCGACCGCCTCGCGGGCCCTGTCCTGGTGACCCATGCACAACCCCATGACCAGCAGGGCACCCTCGGAGAGCAGGCTGGGGCGCTGGGGGTTCAGAGCGATGCACTCGTGGAGCAGCTCATAGACCCTCTCGAGGCGGGCAAAGGAGAACCACGGGTGGTATTCGTCGTCGGTATCATCTACGTATTCGTATTCCTTGTACAGCTCGCACAGGGCCTTGAGGAATGCACCGCCGCCGGCAGGATTGGATTTGTAGTCCTGCTCGATGATTTGCAGGGCTGGGTCGTGGCGATTCTGAAAGACGAACAGCTCCCCGCCGAACCAGAGGACATCGTCGTTGTCTTGGAACATTTCCCAGTATTGGCGGCAGTACTGGAACTCGCTGTCTCGCCAGTTGCCCAGATAGGCGCAGTGGAAGAGGTGGTTGTCGCGATCTTCGATGGTCTGGGTGATCATGTCCTTGACGATGAACCGGGACATCTCGGTGGAGATGCCGGGAAAGTCCTTGTATGCCTCGCAGAAGCGGTGCGTGTTGAAGAACCAGAAGAAGGACGAGTCTTCCACGATCCGGAAGAGGACGAGAAAAAAGTAATAGAGCTCGCCCATCGAGACGAACCAGGCGGCGGTTTCTTCCTCTCGGGCGGTGGTGATGTGTTCGGGCTCGTCGTCTGGTGCGGGCAGAAAGAGGTAGTTGTATACGAGGGGGACGACGTACTCGATCACATCGCTGATGTCATTGCGCTGGCTGAGATGGTACTGGGCGAGCCGGAGCATCAGCGCGGGTGCGATGCAGTCGTTGAACTGCTGTTCTTGGCGAAAGGATATGTCGTCGATGGTCTGCTGGCTCTCGATGATATCCGGGATCGTATCGAGGAGCTCGACCAATTCGTCGTAGTACTCTTCCGGCTCGCGCTCAAACTTGTGGATGGCGATTTCGTACATGCACAATGGATGCTGCTGGGCCGCACCGAAGGCAAAGAGACACAAGGCTTCGTCCATGCCGCGCGGGACACCTTCACCGTACTTGTAACGGCGGCCGACAAAGTAATAATGGCCGCCTGGTGTGTCCTCTGGGATGGTGATCGGATAGGTCTCCAAATATCCGCCCCAAAAGTCATCATCCTCAGAGTCTTGATTCCGGGCGAGCTTGATGAGACGGTGTGCCGCGGGGCGGTTCTTGAAGAGGGTGAGTAGTTCCTGGGTGCGTCTCTCGGTCAAGAGCACAGCGTAGGTGCATGACGGGAAGTAGTCTCTCTCGAAGCGGTCCAGGATCTGGCCCTCCAGACCATAGATGCTCTTGAGATGGGGAATCTGGTTTTGGAGGTCGTTGTAGATGTAATCGCCAGGGTAGACACCCTTGTAGAGGCGCTCGAACTCGTGGTTGAAGAAATCCTTGATGATGATGTCGCCGCATTTGTGTTGCAGGAAGCCGGCGGCAAGGAGCTTCTTGACGGCAACAGGATCACCCCACCAATGCTTGGCGATTTCGAACTGCAGCTCCAAAGGCAAGCTGCACCACAGATCGTCGAGAATGGAATCCCCAGCACCAGAATCGGGTGATGAGTTTGAGATTTGTGTTGGGCGGCCACGCTTGGCGACGGCACGCTTGCGTCTCTGGGCTCGCTTCGGGTCGGGTGCAGCAGCAGGGGAGGGGGTGAACTTGGGTCTGACCATGCTTGCTGCATGCAACACCACGTCGTGCTGTGAATATACACTAGAAAAATATGCTTACAATGGTTACACGCCATTGGAACATGGAACATGTGGAACGTGCCACGACTGGTGGCTCAATGCTGCGCACTACCTCGTGCAACCGGTGACGTGTTTCGGAGCCCGAGTCGGGGGCGATGTCGCCTTTCCCCCCAGGATAAAAGGCGGCCGCCTGGGGATTCCTCCTCTTTTGCTTCACCCTCGCTCGCAAGCAAACCTCCCCAGGAACCCCCCATCCTGTATTCCTCTGATTTGACTCATTTGACTTAGCATAGCCAACTCGTAGGCGACTTTTATCATGAACAATCTTTTTATTTTTGGCCTTGGTTTTGGTTTTAACCAGCGCCGATGTTTTGCTGCGACCAAGGCATCTGATTTTATCGTCAGGTGCCGCAACTACAAGTTTCACGGGCACAGACTTTTCTGTTTTATTCATTTTTTATTTAGCATTGAACATCCTGAGGAGTTCATTCTCCACCCCTCCGTTTTCCAGGCCCGTCTCCCAGTCTTGGAAAACCCCATTCCCGAGCCCCCGGTTCCCGCTCCCGTCGAGGCCCCGCCTACCCCCCCGGCCACTCCGCCCAGCCAAGATGAGGACCAGGATGTCACCAGAGCCCTCGAACGTCCAGATGCCGTTCCCGAGCCCCCGGTTCCCGCTCCCATCGAGGCCCCGCCAACCCTTCCGGCAACTCCGCCCCGCCAAGCCGAGGACCCGGAGGTTGGAGCCAGAGCCCCCGAGCCAGCCGTCCCTGAGCCGGCCGTCCCAGAGCCCGACGAAGAAGGGGACGATATCTTGGAGCCTCTCCTTTAGCTCCCATCAACTTGTCGCCCAAGAAATATGCCTCCCCCATGGTCCTCTCAAGAAAGACACTGGAGGCCATAATATGGGCTGAAACCTCTTCATTTTTGAACAGGGGTGATAAATTTAGGTTGATTTCTTTCAGGCTTGTGTTTTCTTGTCAATGCACTTCCACTGTAGAGGTTGTTTCGTCTGAATAAATTATACGCAGAGCCTGTGTCTTCAGTTTCACCCCTCCATGGTCTCACCCAATCAGAGAGCGAGAGAGAAAAAATGCGCCACATGGCAGTTAAATTAATGAATTAATTGACGGTTCGGCCAGAGGGCCAAGGACACTCCATCTTGCCTCTCGGTGTTCCAGATCATTTCTGGATGGTATTCGCTTCGGAGGCGACGTCTATCGACTCAGTTTGCCTTAGCTCCCTCAACTTGTGATTCGACTTGGCATCCGTAGCCACCTTAGAATCGCCATGTCTCAGAACCAACGAATCAATCCTATCGCTCCTTGCCTTTTTGTGCTTGACAGCGGCCAAACTTGCCCAGGTCGTCGACTCGTCGACTCGCAATATTGCAACGTCCACTCCAAAGCCGGGAACTCTGATTGTCCCTATCCAACCACCAAATCCGGAGGAACTGCGACCTGCAGTAAGCCCTGTGTTCCTGGATATGACGGCTGTGTGTTCCACAGAGTCTATCCGCTCGACCCTCGCGATCCACGCTGCTGGGCCATGAAGAAAAACACCCAGTACAAGGAGCGCTGCCAAGTCATTCCTCGGATCGAAGGCAGTTATTTCTGCCAGCATCATCACGATGCACTCAGCTACAAACTCCACCCAGATGCACCCCCTACGATTCCTGGACCCGATGGTCCTGTGCGCAAGCCCGCCGACAAGTTTCGCCCCTTCGGTGGACCTATCACTCCCGCTCGACCGTTGATGAGACCTACACCCTCAACCTATCCTAGAGTGTCAACCAGTGCACACAACACGCCTTCTCAGCGAAACGGCGCCGACCGGTTCCAAAGTCAAAATTCATACAGCAGTATTGCCGCCCAAGGCAATGTTAAAAAGGAGGAAACCAGTCTCGATGCCGATGCTGCCGATGATGACGATGCTGCCGATGATTCGGTCATGGACGAACTCATCTCTATTTTCAGGGATAGCATGAAATTGGCCAAGACCAAGGCACCATTCGATGCCGAGCGCTTTCAAACGGCCTTTGCGGTCACCATCCACGAAGAGACCCTCAAAGCCAATCTACGCAAGAGCCGCAAGTCGCTCGGAAATTGAGCGAATATTCCAGACAGCATCTATCATCGAGTGTAGATGCGATTGCATGGATTCAATATATCAAATTGCTCTCCAATGCCCAGGTGTTCCATTGTTGTCCTGGGATGATGTGTTTGTTGTGCCAGCATCAGAGATCGCCCAGACCCGCTCACAGCGTGTCCATGCGCAGCCAATGTACACCTGATGTGCACGTGTCAACCCCATCCTCATGGTCAGCGCGCCCCGTGCTGGTGGCTCAACTCCGCCCGGTCACAAGCCCACCTCCCGCCCGCCCAACAAGCCCGCCCTCCTTCCACCCGCAATCTCGGCTCTTTGTTCTTCTGCCTGCCTGCCTGTCCGTCAGCTCAATCGACCCTTTGTCGTCCGCCTCTACAAGAAAATGGCCTCCGGTTCCGCCAGCCAGCACCAGCCCCTCGGAGCGGGCACAAGCTTGCCCGTCTTGGACCCCACGGAAGCCCCCTATCACCACGACCCCGCCATCTTCACCATCATATGCTGCAACGAATCCTTCCAGTTCGCCCTCTCCTTTGCTGATGTCAAGACTCTCCTCCTCGTTTGCAAGCGAGCGAGGCACCTTCTGAACTCCAAGGAGAGGCGCTTCAATTTGTGGTGCTCCCGACGATGCTTGAAGAACGACGATGGGTCCCTCCAGATCCGGATTACGCCCAGCGACAGATATCTTCTGTCCTTCTACTGCCCGCGTCTGGGTGGCGGTTGGTCCTGGCTCGAAGCACAGTCCAACTCTGGAAATGCCGCCGCGGCGTATTTCCTTGCTCGGAACAAGGAGCAGCAACTCATGCTCGCAAGCGGATACCTGCCCTGGAAGGTTCAAGACACCAGGATGGAAGAAGTCCTCTCCCTCTTGGAACAAGCAGCCCTCGACAACCATACGATGGCCCAGTTTCACTTGGCCAGATGCTACATGGGCCACAAGCTCGTCCATCGCGATGCTACCAAGGCCCTCGGCCTCTATCGCCGCCTTGCGAACCGTGGACTTGTCCAGGCCCAGCTCGCCCTCGGTCGAATGTACGAAGACGGTGAAGGCGTCAAGCAAAGTTTCAGCACAGCCATCGAATGGTACACGGCCGCCTGGAGCCAAGGAAGTGAAGATGCACGACTCCGGATCGTCTTCCTCCGTGGATGCTTCTCGTTCATCGGCCATGGAGTCGAGAAGAGCGACCAAGCCGCCTTCAATCACTGGCAGGAAGTCAGCACCCAGTCCACCAACCCAGTAATCAAGCCCATCGCCACCCATATGGTCGGGTGGATGCATTACCTCGGCCGGGGCACCCTAATGGACCAACGAAAGGGCATTCAAATTATTCGAGACAACGAAACCCGCAACCGCTTCCGACTGGGAGAAGATGTTTGCCTATGTGCCAGACAGGCCAATAGATCCGCAACAGCAGCCTCTGTACGGTTCTTTGGATTGTGTCGACTCGGATCCAGGTCTGACTGGCTCTGTCGACACCTCATGGCTGTGTGTCTGTATCAAGCTTTTGGGACTCCACGCTCGATGAATACTGCAAGGTACATCTTTGGCACACTGGCTCGAGATGGCCACTCTGACAGCCAGGTCTGGTTCTGGTCTACCAAGGGTTTCTACTCAAACATCAACCTCCACCTCCATCATCTGCAAGCCTCTGCAGCCCAAGGAAATCAGTTTGCCCAGCTGCTCCTGGGTGAATATCAGTCTTCGAATGATCGTGGTGCTGCCTTTGGTTGGTTCACTGCATCAGCTCTGCAGGGAAATCGACGTGCTCAGTACCATCTTGGTCGCATGTACCAGGGTGGGTGTAAGGAGTGAACAAGCGCAAGGACGAAGACCAAGTGCTTGGTATGAGCTTTATTAGCTTTTAGCCCCGAACACCAAAGAACAAGTTTTGTTCGAACTGGTGTTCAACATAGGCTCAGACATGCAGGGCTATTTATAGACCGGGAGAAGGTCGAGGGGCAAAAGTGGGCGAGAAGGGTGGAGCATCACAGAGAAGCGAGAAGGGGGTGCGAGAGTGGCTGGTGTGCAAGCGAGAGAGGCTTGGCACAGCCCGGGGACATGTGCCGAGCGGTGGGGGAGGCAGGAAACCAGTAGACGCGGGTGGCAACGGCGCGTGCTCATGCATGGGGGCAAACAAACACGTGGGGACTCATGATTGGTGCGGAGGGCGAGAGCATGCGGGACAATCTCATTGGTCCGTTGTGATGCTGGTCATCACACTATCTCCTCCTTAAACTACGGCGTGTTCCATCTTGAGTTCTCCTGGGGCCAGGCTTGTCTGGGTAGCGTCGGTGGTACTCCGCGGCCACCGTTGGGGCAAAGACAATGTCGGCGGGCTCCCAACTTCGATCGGTGACCGGGTAGCCTTTCCAATCGATGAGATAGTGCAGCTTTCCGCGCACGAACTTGGAGTCTAAGATCTCTTCGACCTCCCACTCCAAGTTCCCATCGATGACCACCGCAGGGGGCGGCGCTTGCACCCGACCCGGAAGCGAGTTCTTCTTGTAGGGCTCAAGAAGAGACACATGGAACACCGGGTGCACCTTTATGTCCTTTGGCAAGTCCAGGCGGAAAGCCAATGTCCCGACGGCCTCGAGGATGGTGAATGGTCCAATCCTCTGGTAATCCAGCTTCTTGCTTGGGCGAGTGGTGCTGATGTTACGAGTCAGCACCCAGACTTGATCGCCCGGACGCAAGTCGGGAGCCTGGGACCTCCGGAGATCTGAGAAGTGCTTGTAGTCAGACTTTGCCTTCTCAAGATTCTCCTTCAACAGTGCCAGGTTCCGCTGGAGATGTTCAACCCTCTCCGTGGCAGAGGGAACATCAGGGCCGCCAGCGACAACGGGGACTTCGAACCTTGGGTGGAACCCATAGGTTGCCAAGAATGGCGAGGCATGTGTTGACGAGTTCTCGAGGTTATTGTAAGAGAACTCGGCCAACGGCAGCAGCTCGGCCCAGTCATCTTGCTGATACGACGTGTAACAGCGCAGGTATTGGTTGATGACCTGGTTGACCCTCTCAGTCTGTCCATCGGTCTGGGGATGGAAGGCCGTGGACAGACTGGTTTGGATCCCGAGCTGCGTGCAGAGTGCCTTCCAGAACCGAGAGGTGAACTGACTTCCTCGGTCTGAAACCACTGTGTCGGGGAGGCCATGGAGACGAAAGACATTGTCGAGGAACAGTGACGCAGTCTCCTCCGCCGACGGCAGTGAACGCCAGGACATAAAGTGTGCCATCTTTGTGAGGCTGCATACCACCACAAAGATGCAGGTGTGACCCTTGGACTTTGGCAGATCAGTGATAAAGTCCATGGTCAGTGTCCCCCAGGGTCGATCGGCTGTCTGGAGTGGCAACAGGAACCCAAACGGCTTGTGTCGCGGAGCTTTCGAGCGTGCACAGGTGTCGCACGTCGAGACGTACTCTTTGACATCTTTCCGATAGGTTTGCCACCAAAACTGTCGCGATACCAGAGCCAGAGTCCGTCGGATGCCTGGATGACCCACAGCGACTGGGTCATGGCACGACTTGAGCGCCGGAACTCGGCACGACTCTGGGACCACAATCCTGTTCTGGAAGGTGAGGTACTGGCCATTCCAGACGAACTTCGGGTCACGACGGTATTTGTCTAGACCGGGATCCCGAGCCTGCTCTTCGGCTATGAGCTGCAGCAAATCCACAGGGTCACTGCGACTTGCAACCGAAGAGCGGGCGTCTCTGCTTCGGAGCACGCGTATCACCGCGGCAGGATCGAGAAGCAGAGGCGGATCCCTCGACACGGAGGCCGACGAAGGGATGTAGTCCGAGCGACGAGACAGGGCATCGGCCTTGCCGTTCCTCGCACCAGGACGGTACTGGATGCGGATGTCGAACCGAGACAAGAACTGGGACCACCGTGCATGACGCTGGTTTAGGATGCGAGCCGTTGCCAGGTACTCCAAGTTCTTGTGATCGGTCAGAACGGCAACGGGATGCTGGGCGCCTTCGAGGTAGTGTCGCCACGCCTCGAAAGCCTCCTTGATCGCCAACAGCTCTTTCTCGTATATGCTGTAGTTACGTTCAGCATTCGAGAGTGTCCGCGAATGGAACGAGCAAGGATGAAGGCGATCATCAGCACCCCGCTGGGAGAGCACGCATCCAAGCGCAAAGTCCGACGCATCTGACTCTACGACGAACGGCTTGGATGGGTCCGGATGCACCAGAACGGGCTCCGAAACGAAGGCATCCTTCAAGGATCTGAATGCTTTATCGGCTTCGCGGGACCACTGGAAGCCATGCGTCTTCCGGAAGAGCCGAGTCATGGGCCCCGCGATCTTTGCGTATCCATCGATGAAGCGTCGATAGAAGTTCGCAAACCCGACAAAGGATCGAAGATCCGAGATGTTGCGCGGTATGGGCCAATCCAAGATCGCAGAGAGCTTGGATCGCTCCATACCGATGCCCTCGGGCGAGACCATGAAACCAAGGAACGAGACCGAGGTTTTGGAGAACTCGCACTTCTCCAGCTTGCAATACAGCTTTGCAGCTCGGAGCTTCGAGAGGACCTGCTTGACGTGCTCTACATGCTGCGACGGATCAGCACTGTAGATCAAGATATCGTCAAGATACGCAATTGCGAACTGGTCCAACTCGGTGCGCAGGACGTCGTTGATGAAGTGCTGGAACGTCGCTGGCGCGTTGGTGAGCCCAAAGGGCATCACCAAGTACTCGAAGTGCCCATATCGAGTACGGAAAGCTGTCTTCCACTCGTCCCCGGAGCGGATGCGCAGCAGATTGTAGGCTCCACGAAGGTCCAGCTTAGTGAACACCTTCGCGCCTCGAAGTCGGTCCAGCAGCTCGCCGATCAGCGGTAAAGGGTAACGGTTCTTTACCGTGATACCGTTCAGTGCGCGGTAGTCAACGCAAAGACGAAGTGAGCCGTCCTTCTTCTTGACGAAGAGGATTGGTGAGCCTGCTGGGGACGACGAAGGACGAACGAATCCCTTGGCAAGATTCTCGTCGAGATAGTCACGCAGAGCGTGAAGTTCGGGCTCGGACAGTGAGTACAGAGGCCCGAACTTTGGCGACTTGCCCGGCTCCAAGTCAATGGGGCAGTCATAAGGGCGATGCGGAGGCAAGGAGTCAGCTTCCTGTTTAGAGAAAACAGACAGGAAGTCCTTGTACTCCGCAGGCACTTCGACAGTCGCAGTGCTCGGCTCGTCAGTGGGCAGGACATGGACCTGAAAGATGGTCAGGGGTTGCGTTCCATGCCTGCATGCATCCAAAGACTCGCGCATCGAGCGGTAATCAATGCTGCAGACGCGGAGAGGAGCGTCCGAGCTGAGAGGAGGGGCGTGGACAAGGTCAGAATAATGTTCGACGGTTACTTTATTCTGAACAATGTCCGAAGAACAAACAACAGGAGGAGGTACATCAAGGAGGGAAAGAGAACTGACAACAGAAGAAGGGGTTTGGGAAGAGCGAAGGGGTTCGGGAGGAACAAGACAAGAAGGGGAAGACGAAGGTGGGAGCGTAGGAGAGGAGCTTAGATCAATCAAAGGAGTGGAATCATCAAGAAGGGGAGTGACATTGGAGGAAGTGGAGCAAGACGAAAGAGAAGTAGTGCATGGAGAGGGGTCGGAATCAACAGAAGGAGGGAGACAAAGAAGACCGCGAGACCAGACAATCTTGGGCTCGGCGGTGCGCAACCAAGGAAAGCCAAGGATAAGTGGTTGATGTGGAGACCTGATCACATCGAACCGAAGGCGTTGCGAGACGTCCCCGAGAATCACCTCGAGTGGAGCAGTCTCGCGGAGGATGGGGCCAGACGACAGCGGCTTACCATCCACGCCTTCCACTGCCAAGGGCGAAGCCTTGGAGCAGGTGGGGACAGAGTGTCGAGCAACAAAGTCCTCGTCGATAAAGTTGCCAGAGGCACCAGAATCGACAAGTCCTTCGCACGACAGAGAATCACCAGAAGGAAGACGAACAGCGACGGGAACAACCAACGAGCAACGACGAACAGACGAAACACAAGACTTTGGTTCGGTACCAGCTTCGGCACCAGGGTTGCGGCTAGCACAGACAGTTAACTTTGCCGAGGGTTGGCAGGACAGCTCAGGTATTTGCACCTGTGGATGAGGTGCAGTTCCCAGTGACACCAGAGGTGCCACGGGTACTATGCCAGAGCTGAGAGTGTCCGCCGGTCCAGAGGCAAGGCGAAGCTGTCCGCACATCACTGCTTCCCCAGTACTTACCAAAGGCACCTTACCAATGTCTTCACTTTCGGAAGGCGGTGGGCACGGCTCCGGTTCAAGGCCTTCACTTAGAACCGGGCCTGGTCGTTTCCCGAACTGAAGTCTTGCACTTCTCCATCTTCGTAAACGATGGTGCGGATGATCCTCGGGCCGGGAGGTCCAGGGGGCGGTCCGGTAGCTCTGGTAGATCCAAACTTGACGGGGCAGTTTCGTACCAAGTGGCCCTTCTTGCCACAGTACAGGCAGAGTCCAAAGCGGCGGCGGCGTTGTTTCTCCTCGGCGGTCAGGGGTCCAGAGACGGCAGAGTCCACTTGCATGGGCTCGGAAACAATGTAGGAGGGGTGCGGCGGAGCGAGGACGGACGCGGGAGCGATGGCGGGAACGGCAGCGGAGGCGGAACCAAAGGCGAACTGGGAAGACCGGTAGCGGGCAGGCGTGCTTCGGCGCTCTTGACGGCGCTCGCGGATTCGTGCATCGAGCTCGTTACAAAGCTCGATGTACTCCTCCAGATCTCGTGGCAGAGGGCGAACTCGCGAAAGTTCGTCTCTGACATCATCCGACAAGCCAAGTCGGAAGAACGAGATCTTTGCACCGTCGTTCCAAGTCGTATCGGCGGCAATACGAAGGAACTCGGATGCATAGACTGCGCACGGGCGGTTGCCCTGAGACAGTGTGGTGATCACTGACTCGGCAGTCCTGGCCCGATCAGGGTCGTCAAACACTTTGGAAAAGCGTTCTAGGAAATCGCCAAAAGAGTTGAGTCGGGGATCACCCATCTCAAGCATCGGAGTCGCCCACTGGAGAGCCGGTCCAGTGAGCAGACTAATGACGAATCCGACCTTAATCGGGTCAGCAGGGAACCGGTGGGGCTGCATTCGTATATACAGTTTGCACTGATTTACGAATGCCCGGAACCCTTGCCGGTTACCGTCGTAACGGTCCGGCATCTGCACGCTGTACCCAGCGGCAGGAGCATCGCGAGCTGTCCGGAGCTCGGCGAGCTCGGCCTCCAAGGCACGGAGGCGGTCCACGAGGGCAGGATCCATGGCGGGACTGGGACTGGGACTGGGAAAAAAAAAAAAAAAGCGAGGAGGTTCAAGAACAGGAGAGCGAAGAGGGCTCAGACACAAGTGTGCTTGAGGTTCGGACAGGACTAGGAAAGGGGCGGGGCTAGGAGCGGAAGATACCAAGCAGGTGGTATCAGTAGAAGAGAGTTCGAACAAAGTGTAAGGAGTGAACAAGCGCAAGGACGAAGACCAAGTGCTTGGTATGAGCTTTATTAGCTTTTAGCCCCGAACACCAAAGAACAAGTTTTGTTCGAACTGGTGTTCAACATAGGCTCAGACATGCAGGGCTATTTATAGACCGGGAGAAGGTCGAGGGGCAAAAGTGGGCGAGAAGGGTGGAGCATCACAGAGAAGCGAGAAGGGGGTGCGAGAGTGGCTGGTGTGCAAGCGAGAGAGGCTTGGCACAGCCCGGGGACATGTGCCGAGCGGTGGGGGAGGCAGGAAACCAGTAGACGCGGGTGGCAACGGCGCGTGCTCATGCATGGGGGCAAACAAACACGTGGGGACTCATGATTGGTGCGGAGGGCGAGAGCATGCGGGACAATCTCATTGGTCCGTTGTGATGCTGGTCATCACAGTGGGTTGGGTGTACCCCGGGATATCAACATGGCTGTCGAATGGTATCAACTGTCGGCAACTCAGAATTGTAGCCTCGCTCAGTACGAACTCGGAATCTGCTTCCTCAAAGGTCTGGGCGTCGCTCGAAACCGAAGCACTGCCAATGAACTGCTTCATGCTGCCGCCAAGCAGGGGAATACGGAAGCCATGGCTGAACTCAGAAAAGTTGGTGGTATACGAGGCTACACACCAGAGCCCATTTTCTGAATGAAGTATGCAGTGAATTTCATCTCTGTGGTGCTCGTGGTTGGATTCAGTCAAATGTATTCATGGCTGTGCAAACAAAACAATACATCCACCCATTCAACCACGCTCAGCCTTGACCTTGGTGCCCTTGGAGGCCTTGGATGCGGGAGTGAAAGTGTGACGCTCTCTGGGGGAGCGTTCACCCATGACGCCAACGATGATCTTTGGGGTGGAGAGAAGCCAGTTGAGAACATTGACGCGATTGAGAGCGAGAAAGACAGGACTGGGTGCTGCGGGTCCGAGGCTCACCTTGCTGACGGCATCCGTATCGATGGCCTCGCCTCTGTCCGAGACAGACATGAGGGCACTCACGATCCTGGCGAGTTCCTCGGCCTTCTTGGCATCGGCGGCCTTCTGCTCGGGGGAGACAAAAGCAGGTTCGTCGTGATCCTCGGCATCCCAAAAGGCCTCGGGGGTGCGGGTAGTGCGCTTCACGGGAGCGCGACGAGGAGTCGATGGTCCGGGTTCGTTGTCCGAGTCCGAGTCGTAATACGCAGGCTTACGATCCACCTGCATGACCTCCAAGTACGAGCGAGTGGGGTAGCGATCATGCCACTCGCAGACATCGCGGCCATGCAAAGACTTGCAGGAACAGCGGATCTTCAAGTCGGACTTCTTGGTCATGTGGGTGCAGCGACCCACATAGTCCGCTTCGGGGAAGCGGCGGTGATGGAAGCACCCGTCAAAGCCCTCCATGCAGGACTTGGAGCACTGCAGAGTGTAACCCGACATGCCGGTGGCATAGGGGCATCGATGGTTGTAGCCTGGTTTGGTGCAGTGGACATTGCATTTGAGCCCGGTCTGGACGGCGCGGCCGGGGCAACGAGTGCCATCCTCGAGAACTTCAGCGCAACGGAGGGAGCGCAGAGGGGCAGCGGAAGAGGCGGAAGGAGTAGACATGTCTGTATCTGAAGAGAAAACGAATGTATCAGTAACCGAGAGTATGTCAGCATCCCGCAGTGTGCGTGGGAGAGCACGAACCTGGTGTAAATCGTAGAGAGTAGTCGCTTGTAGTGAAGTAGGTCGTAGTCGAGTAGAGACTGGTGGGGATGAGAACTTGGAGGCGGGAGACGATGGGCTATTTATCATCGGCCAGCCAGATACCCCCATGCGCCTCGGAGCATGTGGTCTCCACCCAAATCAAATCACATCAAGGAGAAAAACCCAACGTCAAGGAAAAAAAGCAAGTACCCTCTCGAGTGGTGCATTGGACGACAAGCCCGGGACACTCGAAGGAGCCGCATGCATCATGCGGACTACCCCAAAAGACATGGGATGTGTTTGTCGTCTCCAGAGAACAAGAGCTGTAGACATGCATGGTGCGCCGCATCTGCTCGATTGGTGCGGCGGACGACAAGACCGGGACACTCGAAGGAACCGTATGCATCATGCGGGCTGCCCCAAACGGCATGGGATATGCTTGTCGTCGCCAGAGAACAAGATCCGCAGAAAATCATACTGCGCCGCATCTGCTCGATTGGTGCGATAGGCGACAAGCCCGGGACACTCGAAGGAGCCGCATGCATCAAGCTGACCACCCCCAAACGGATCCGATGAAGTTGATTGGCATTCAGGATGTCAAGGCCTATCTTTTTTCGCACCATATGATCCTATATGGGACGCCATCAAGGAGAATGCCTTGCTATCGATTTTGAAACAAACCCCAGCTAATCGACATGTCCCATGTGCACGCAGGCAGCGGATGCACCCCCCGATGATAAAAGGGAGGCCGTTCCCTCCGTCTCCGACGCGACCGCACCTCGCATCACCGCCCTATCCCACGATTTACACACTACTCCCTACTATTACTACACTATATATTCACTATGAAGCACACTCTCTCTTCCACCGCTCTCGCCTCCATGGTCGACACTCCCGAGATTTCCGGCAAGCGTCTCTGTCTCCCCCAAGACCACCAAGGCCACCAAGTCTCGCCTCTGGTCCAAGCCTCCATCGTGGTGTCCAACGATTCCTTCCTCTGGCGTCTGGATGTCTCTACCCTGCTCCGACTCAAGCAGACCTGCAAGACGATCGACTCATTCATTCGAGGCTCCAAGTTGGTCCAATTCCGACTTTGGCTCGACATGAATGGGATGGATATCTACCATAGCCACGGAGACTACCTGTAGGAGATGGTATCTCCGACGCTGTGCTGCGCGTACTGCGCGTACTGCGCGGCGCAGTGGGTCGTGACCTGTGCTGCGCTTTGCGTTTTCACGCACCGCAGGCAGGCCACCGCAGGGTATACCTGCGGGTTGCCCCCGTTCCCCCCGTTTGTCTGGAGTTCGGTTTTATCGTGAATAAACGTAAGTGCTCCCCGAGCTCACCCGTCCGCTAGAGTAGCCTAGCACCGCCCTGTTCTGCCCCGTCCTGTCTTGTCTTGTACCCCCTCCCTCCCCGTCTTGCCCCAACGTCCCAGTAGTGGACGTTACATGGTAGCATCGGAAATCCTCGTCTTGTTTTCGTCCTGTTTGTCCTCTTTCTAGATCCTCAAGCTGGATCCCGCCTCTCTTGCCGACCGACTCTCCTCTCTGTCCCTGGAGCCTGCCCCTGCCATGAGCAACCCCCGCCCACTTCCGGAAGCCTTCCTCAAGACCTTCCGTGCCCCAGTGTTTACTGGGAAGAGCCGCTCCTCCTCGGTGGAGGACTGGCTGCAGCAACTCGAGGACTACCTCGATGCTGCCCAAGTCGCCCCCACCCACCACATCGTCGCCGCCAAGCTCTGCTTAAAGGACCAGGCGTACCGTTGGTACCGCCGCCAAGGGTTCGACGAGCAGAGCGAAGGTGTGTTTGACGACTTCAAGGACCGCCTCCGTCGCCGCTTCGGCAGCCCCAATGCTGAACTCATTGCCCGTGACAAGCTATACTCTCTCGTGCAGCGTGGTTCTGTGACCCGCTACATCGAGGAGTTTGAAGACCTCTCCTCCCAGATTGAGGAGCTGGGCTCTGCTGATGCGATGTACCTCTTCCAGAAGGGCCTCAAGCCCAAGATCAGAGAGTACATCGCCAGCAACCCTGATGCCCGCAAGTCCCTGGACGTGATGATGGACGTTGCCGAGAACCTCGACAACGTCCAGTACCATGGCCGCCAGTTCTACCCGCAGCTGGCAGGCGGCCATCGGTCTCATCACGTCCCAGCCCGTCCGCCTCGCCCGGCCCCGCCCGCAAGACCCATGCCTGAGCCCATGGACGTTGACGTCAACGCCATGGAGGCTCGTGGCCCTCCCCGCTCCCGGTTCCAGCAAGCTGCCACTGTCTCCCCCAAGGACAGACAGAAGCAGGAGGACCTCCGCCATGGTTCCTGCTTCTTCTGTCACCGACCGGGACACCAGGCCAAGGAGTGCCCCATGAAGTCGGGAAACGGCCGACCCTACTAGGTGGCTCTGGAGCCCTAGTAGGAGACCAACGCCGTGGATTGCTCAATGCAGTCCACGCGTCTCCAGAGGAAGTTCACCTCGCCCCCTCCCCCGAAGGAGAAACAAACCAAGTGTTGTGCGTCGTGCGAGAGGTGCATGGTGGCGCAAGCCGCCTGCCTCTCCACGAACGTGAAGAGAAAACCAAAATTGAAAACCAAAACAAAAAAGAAAATCAAGAACCCTTGAGGGACAGGACCGCCTGTGCCCTCACCCCTGTCAAGTCGTGTGTGTCGGATGCTTCCGACATGTGTCCGCAAGCCGTGGACGTCGTGTGCAATGGCGTGCTGACGCCGCAGGCCCCCGCAATGGCCGAACCCTATCCAAAATGTCCGAGTGGCCGTGATGAAGCCAACCAAGACCAAGTGTCGCCCGTTCCCCCAAGTCAAGTCATGGTGCAGGAGGCTGTGCAGGAGGACCATGAAGAGTCCCTGCTGTACCTCCCTGCCACCGTCCAAGGTCACACCGTCCGAATGATGGTGGACTCTGGAGCAAGCTGCAACTTTGTCAGCAGACGCTTGCTCCAGGAGCTCAACATACATGCAACCAAGAAGAAGTCGCCGATGAGTGTGGCGCTTGCAGACGATCGTGTGCAGCAGTGCACACACCAAGTGGTCCTGCGAGTGGCCCTCCATCCCAAGTACCATCCTGTCCTGTTGTTCCAAGTGATCGACACCAAGTTCGATGCCATCCTCGGCATGAGCTGGCTTGCTCGTGCCGAGCCGACTCCAGTCGTCGACTGGAAAGGCCGCACTGTCCGTGTTGGCCCTGACATTGTCCTGCAGGGCATGGCCTCACCCAACATGCCACCTCTCCTCTCAGCCATGCAATTCAAGAGGCTGATCAAGAAGGACACGTCGTTCCTCTGTGTCGTGCGTGAGGTCGACGACACCGACCAAGCCGGTCCCGGTCCCCCGCCTGTGGTGACCAAGCTGCTCGACGAGTACAAGGACGTATTCCCCGACCAGTTGCCACAATGCCTGCCACCCCAACGCACCGTCGATCATCGCATCGACATCGAACCAGGCTCGTCGCCTCCGTCAAGACCGACGTACCAACTGTCGCTGACGGAGATGGACGAACTCAAGCGCCAGTTGGATGACCTCCTCGCCCATGGGTTCATCCGCCCGAGCCAGTCACCGTATGGTGCACCAGTGCTCTTTGTCAAGAAGAAAGAAGGTGATCTCAGGATGTGCGTCGACTATCGCGCACTAAACAAACAGACCATCAAGAACACCTACCCGTTGCCCAGGATCGACGAGTTGATGGATCGTCTGAGTGGAGCAAAGGTCTTTAGCAAGATAGACCTCCGCTCAGGCTACCATCAGATCCGCATCCACGAGGATGATGTCCACAAGACCGCCTTCAGGACTCGCTACGGACTGTACGAGTTCCTAGTGCTGCCGTTCGGATTGACGAACGCACCTGCCACGTTCATGCAGCTGATGAACGATGTGTTCCGCCAAGAGCTCGACAACTCTGTCATCGTGTACCTGGATGATATCCTTGTGTACAGCAAGGATGAAGCGACCCATGAAGGTCATGTCGCCCGCGTGCTGGCCAAGCTACGCGAGCACAAGTTGTATGCCAAACTGTCCAAGTGTGAGTTCTTCAAGAATCAAGTCCCGTTCCTGGGACACGTTGTCTCAGGAAGAGGAATCGAAGTCGACCCCGCCAAGGTCAAGTCTGTGGTCGAGTGGCCGCCGCTCGCATGCGTCTCTGACGTGCAGTCGTTTCTCGGTCTCGTCAACTACTACCGCCGATTCATCCCCGATCTGGCGCGCACTGCCGGTCCACTCACAGACCTACTCCGCAAAGAGTGCCCCTTCGTGTGGGACCACCCACAACGCCAAGCGTTCGAGACCCTCAAGCACGCCTTGACGAACGCTCCTGTCCTCGCTGTGTTCGACCCGAACACGGATGTCTCCGTGCACACCGACGCCTCCGACTTTGCGGTGGGAGCTGTTTTGATGCAGGAGGGAAGGCCCGTTGCCTTCGAGTCGCGCAAACTGTCCCAACACGAGATCAACTATCCCGTGCACGAGAAGGAGCAGCTTGCGATCATCTACGCGCTGCAGAAGTTCCGAGTGTACCTCCACGGTACCGCCAAGCCCTTCAAGATTGTGACGGACCACCAGTCACTGCGTTACCTCGACACCAAGAAGAACCTGAGCCGACGCCAAGCGCGATGGATGGAGTTCCTCGCCGAGTACAACTACGAGGTTGTATACCAGAAAGGCAAACTCAATGTGGTGCCTGACGCACTGTCCCGACGCCCCGACTACCAATTGGCGTCACTGTACGAGTCGACTGTCAGTGTCGACAACACGATGCTGGATGTTGTCCGAGACAACATCGCCAACGACAAACAGTTCGGAGAACTGTTCCGAAAGGTGTCTAAGCTCCCCAAGGACGACGAATCATCCGAGTACACAGTGCGTGATGGCCTGCTCCTCCTGAAGAAGGACAGCCGTGTCTGTGTGCCGGACATTCCGTCGTTGAAGACCAAGTTGCTCCAAGAGGTCCACGACTCGC